ATATATACACCTATAGGTTGAGGGTTAATTCAAAAGAATGTACAAATCTATTAAATTAAATGCAGGTTTAAAATTAAAATTTTATTTGATAAATTCTTATAATTTGCAGGCAACAAATATTTACAATAATAGACAATAATATACTTTTATATTTATTTGTAAACATAGGCTATTGTTGAAATTTTTATAAGTAAAAAATATAATCCCCATTCCCAGAAACCCCCTGTGAAGTATTAATTAAAAAGTTCGTTTCTCTTATTTTCATTATTAGTTATTTATTAAGTGTTTTATGTTATACATTGCACAGTATGTTGTTTAGTTAATGTTTAATGCGCTATTGTTACTCTGATGGTGTTCATGTTATTATTTAGTTGCTGTAGAGGCGGTTTTTATGAATTTATGTTATGTGGCCTTCTTTTGTCTGTTATCACTATTGTAGAAGCAAACAGATTTAAATACCACAAATTAGTTGGTAAATTAACATTATAGCATTAAATGAGATATAAATGAGGCAACCACTTTTGTTTGCAAAAAATTATATAAATTCAACAAAACGTTTTTACAGTGTCATTCTACAGAACATGTATGACAATGAAAGGACTACTACTAATGAGTTAGATTATGTGTGCCAAAAAGGCCACTCCTCATTTCAGGAGGCTCTAATATTGCCTGTTTCTACACGGCGGCTTGTTGAAGACCACAGTCACGTCTCTCGGGCGGTCTGTCACCATGCAGCCGCTGAAGCCGTGCTGCTGCAGGAGCCACTGCGAGGAGAACGAGCTGCTGCTGCATTCCAACCCAGTGTCGAAAAGAGAGCACTCTGGAATCTCCGCACTATTGGATGTGGATATTTTTCCTTCTTGGATCATATTGCTGACACCTGAGTTCAGACGCTGTTTCCAACGCCTCTGAATTTCCATATTTTGTGCGGTCTTGGGGAACGGGGAATCTGTTGAGCACCTATGCAGATCTCCACTGCTGAAAACATGAGCACATCTGCAAGGGAAGCCGATTAATCCACTAAACTTCAATTAAAGGCTGCGTTATTGAAAGGCGGGGACCTCTTGCTCACAATTTCCCGGCACAATTCCCCCTCTCTCTTTCTCTCATGTAGACAATATTTAAGTATTTCCTCAGCCGCGGTGTGTTAACAGGTGCTCATTTTTCTGAATCAGCGCATGGCTTAGTAAAGCGTTGGATCATGGCACAATGGCACGCGTTTCTCTCTCCCACAAATGCGCAACAAAAAGGCAACGTTTTCTAGAAGGCAGCTTTTTTCCCCGGAGAGAAGAAGAGGAGCTGCTGTCCGGGATCTGCTGCACCGTGTCAGGGCACAACAGCCGACGCTGAATGAAGCGGCTGTAAAGGCTTCAAACCAAGTGATTTGTCAACAGGAAAATATGCTCAATCCTTGTAGAGACAACAGCGGACTTCTGAAATGACCAATAAGCAGTCCGTCATGGAGTATTGATTTTACTTCCTCAGTGACAATGTTCTGAGCACACAGGACTTTAACATACACAACATATGGTCATTTTCAATCTGGGACGCGTCGCCACAACGAAACGCCAAACTGGCTACAGCCGCAGCGATCGCCAGCTCCCTCATTCGGCAGAGGAGGCAGGCGAGGGAGCGGGAGAAAGCCAATGCCAACCGCTGCGCCAGCAGCCCCAATAAGAGCATAGGGAACTGCGAGAAGCCCAGCAGGCTCAACTTATTCTCACGCGTCAAACTCTTCGGCTCGAAGAAACGCAAGAGAAGGCGGCCAGGTCTGATGTTATGTGTGTTCTTTTTAGCAGACTTTACCCAGATAGCCAAGTCCATCAACCATCTTCATCATCCCCATCATCATCATCATCATCATCGTTATTGTTCAGTGTGTTTAGAAATTGTGACTACACTTTAACTCCTATACGAAGGAGTCTGAACTGTAAACTAAGATGCGCTGGGCAGAGTAACAAGAATTTCACAGTTCACTGCTTTTAAGCACTGGCTTCTCTCTGAGCTAAAGCTGATGTTGCAATATCACCAGGGCGCACAGCTCATCACTTGTTCTACACTAGATAGCATGCAGTCTACGCAGTTTGAATCAGAGATTTGGCTAAAAGGAGATCTGTGGCACTCTTTGGGTTATGTTGATTTGGATTTTGGCATGGATTTTCATTGCTAATATTGAGTATTTTGTTACTATGAGCACTAGCGGGTCTTTTATTCAGTGTTTTATTTACTTATTATTCTACAATAAATATAATAAATCTTGGATCTTGTTTATGAATGAATATAGTGGGTTTCTGGATGGTACACTACTAGAAATAAAGATTCCAAAAGGGTGTTTTCACAGTAATGCCATAGAAGAACCATTTTGGGTTCCCAAAGAACCTTTTAGTGAATAGTTCTTAAAAGATACTTTTTTTCTTAGTGTGAAGATTTTTTTTTTCCACTTTAAAGAACCTTTTGTGCAATGAAAAGGTTCTGATGTTCATGAACCTTCATGAACCCTTAATTTTTAAATTGTAGGTTGAGGCAGATGTGAACTTGTGTCACAGAAAATGTGGTAACATGCAAATTAACTTAAAAAATATTTTGAACGATATATAAAAAAATACATAAAAACATTTTTCTGAATATTTGTTGGTGAATTCATGCTCAGAGCACTGAAAATACAACCACTTACAAGTAAAAATAGCACAAAACCATATTAAAATGTGAAATATTAATAATAGTAAAATAAATAATAGCGAAAAATAAATAGTCAAAAATATTATTTAATATGACTGAAAAACCTGACCTTGCTTCACATCAATTAAAGTTATTCTAAAGGTCAGATCAGGTAGAAATACCTCTTTAAACAACTGCAGGTGAATAAAATGAGAATTACTATAATTTACTGGAAAATTGTTTGTGACATTTGTGGCATCATCAAATATCAATAGCACAGAATGGGTAAACAATGTGATTTGTATTCTCGCAGCTCTTTTTTGTATTTTCTCTTACAATGAAGAAATAAAGTTTTTTTAAACTCATAAATTCAGAGCGGTTTAACTGGAATCAGGATATTACTGAAATGCTTGTTATATAAGCCATAGTTATCTATCGCCTCAACACTGAGGCATGCTTGGCAAATGCCTGGGTCCTGTTGGCACCAGCACTCACTATGTTTTCACAATTCACATTTTATGGTTTTCCAACATTCATTTCTTGGCTTTCATAAGCTATGCCTTTGTGCTGGATGTTCTCTTCTTCTTCACCCCATATAATCTGCTGTGGCACACCCTCCCTTCGCCCCATCCTCCTAAATTGTGTTGTCTCAATTCTACAGAGCCTCAGCTCAAGGGGATAGTCACCAAGCTCTACAGTCGACAAGGTTTTCATCTACAACTCCAAGCTGATGGGACCATCGATGGTACAAAAGAGGAAGATAATAGCTATGGTCGGTTCACTATACGTAACATGTTTAAACATGACCATACCGACACGCTTCTTTCCCGTGGGTTCAATTCTGTTTTGTACTGTAACTTCACAGCTATTTTCAACCTCATCCCCGTTGGGCTGCGGGTGGTGGCTATACAGGGTGTCCAGACCAAGCTCTACCTGGCCATGAACAATGAAGGCTACCTGTACACCTCTGTAAGTATAACAATCTTTTCAAAATAATGGTTCCAAAAGGCGGTTTTCACAGCGATGCCATAGAAGAACCATTTTGGGTTTCCCAAAGAACCTTGCAGTGAACAATTTTTAAAAGAACCTTTTTTTCCCCTGAAGAACATTTTAAAAATCTACAGAACCTTTTTCCAACATAAAGAACCTTTTGTACAATGGAAAGACTCCATGGATGTTAAAAGTTCTTTGTGGGAACATCAATGCCAATAAAGAACCTTTATTTTTAAGAGAGTAGTGCATCTTTGCGAGTCCCTCCTACACATTGTGGGCTCTTCTGAGTTCAGGGTAGTAGTAAACATCCCACATTTCATCTCTGCTGCTCTCATTGTAGTTAAATCTATGTCTTAGACAGCATCATGGATGCCTCAGGATCCGAGATGTTAACTTAAAGGTTGCAGGTTGGATTCCAGACAGCGGGCGATCGATGAACTGGAGAGTTGATGAGATCCAACTCCTGCCCAAACACCATCTGCCTCTCTTATTTTTCACAGCTTTGTATCGTGATCATATTCAAAGAGGAGATTGTGGCATATTTAGACATGCTTGTTAGCACCTCACATTCACACGAAGATTATTCACACTTCATATAATTGCTTTGTATTTGAATGCTATCTATAGAACGCTCATGGGAGATCATCATCATAACCCAAGGTTTTCCGCCCCAATATCTACTCTGCAGGTTTTAAATATGGAGAATTCACATTAATGCTCTAATGGATATTCTGTTCTGCGAGTGCCTCCCTTGCCTCTTTCCTTTGATTAAATGTGCTGTGGCGAGATAAATAATTTAGTGCTGTGCCAATAAGTGCTTCTGTCCATTCAAAACGGACATTTTGATGAACATTGCTGGCATTAGAACGCTAAAGATTTGAAAGTCTTGGCCAGATCTGTGCTTTCATAATACAGAAACAGTTTACACTGTACCTTTGTATTTCAACTGTGTGTGGGTTCGCGTCTGACCGCCTGCCCACAGAAATTGACTCTTTTCACAGACTGTGATGACGTGTTTCCAGTTATTAACATTGTAAATCTAGTTAAGTTTTTTATATTTTCATTTAAAAATGTAACATACATTTATGACTCTATACTTGGGCTATATTACCTTGGTATGAAATATCAGAAAACTAGTTAATGCTGCTTTGTGGGTGTTTCACAATTACAAAGGAACCGCAAGTAACACATTAAATTAAATGTGAATTTTGTAGTAGAATGACTGAAATGTTTTTTTTTTAACTCACTCCAATAATCATTATTTACACTTTGAAATTTTTTTTTTTTTTTTTACAGTGTATGACAACTTTGCTTCTAAAAACACCGGAAATGTGGAAAAGGTCCATACTCAAACTCGCACCCATGGTCGTGCTGGTATACACGTATCTCCTTGTTGATTTTGAGAGGTTGTTTTCCCCAGGATGAATGTATTGATCCGCAGGAATGAGTCAAAGTGTTTCAGGCCTCAGGAGTTTAATGGTAATCAATCTGTACCACAAACTAGAGTGAAAGCACACGGGATGATGTGCTACCATGTTTAGACCACTTATTACAGTTCAAATCAGAGGAATTTACCTTCAAGTTTAGACAAATCATGATGAGATGATGCGTGATATCGACGAGGCTGGTCTGGACCATCTTCAGCCCAAATTTACCTGCTCTCAATTTCTTTATCTCCCTACGATCTCGCACACACATTTTTTTCTCTCTCTTATGAAAAATACTCCTCCACAAACATGTACGAATTATGTCTCTGTTGTCTTCTCTGCCCATTTCATTCTCACAGGAGCACTTCACGCCAGAGTGCAAATTCAAAGAGTCAGTGTTTGAGAACTATTACGTGACATACTCATCAATGATCTATCGGCAGCAGCAGTCGGGCCGAGGCTGGTACCTGGGTCTCAACAAAGAGGGTCAAATCATGAAGGGCAACCATGTAAAGAAGACCAAGCCGGCTGCACACTTCATTCCCAAACCTCTCAAAGGTTCGTTCAAGTGTCTTCTGTACAGATCGTCAGGCTGATGGCTTTCTAAAAATATCTATTTTAGACTGAGGAGATATTGGCTGATTGTAGCGCAAGCATTCAAGTAATTTGTTGGCTTTCCAGCATGTCTGCAGTTGTTTGGTGTTAAGGACAGAAATGTGCTCTTCGAAGGGATGAAAATGCAGATGTGTTGCAAATGAAAGTGACCAAGTATGGTTACCCATACTAGGAATTAGTGCTCTGCATTTATCCCATCCTAAGTGCACACACACAGCAGTGAACACACACACACACCATTTTGGGCAGCCATTTATGCTGCGTTGCTCAAGGGCACCTCAGTCATGGTATTGAAGGTGGAAGAGAGCGCTGTACATTCACTCCCTCACCTACAATTCCTGAGACTCGAACTCGCAACCTTTGGGTTACGGGTCCGACTCACTAACCATTAGGCCACAACTTCCCATTGTACAAACTTGCATAACTGTGGTCGTGCTCAAGGGGGCATCTGTGCCATTAAACTGGTTAAACCAGTACAAGTGCTGTAAACATATTAACAGCTTAAATAACTTTCTAAGCAGATTTTGTTTGGGGTGCTATATATTAGTACTACATGTTTTATCAGCCATTTTAGAGTTTGTTGTTGTTTTATTTTATCAGCATTAGTTAATTTTAAATTGAATTTAATTAATTTGAAATGTAACTGTTCATGCTCCAGTTAAACCAGTTAAAGGTATTCGTTGAGAACATTAGTATATTATGTAATCTTAAAAATGGATACTCTCAAATTCTGTATATGATAAAGTTGTGATGACTAAATTCGCTTGCAGCATTCAAAATGATAGATTTTAGTTTTTAATGTTTTATTTTTCATTCATTTAGGCAAAATACAATAGAATGTTAATATGAAAATAATTATCTTCATTAACCAGAGAACCCCTAATTCTCAAAATATCACTCTCCCATTGAAGAGAAAACAGACCATAAAAGAAGATGTTTAGAAACACCTTATTTTACCCCTTGTAGAAATATGCAGTTTTTTCCTCCTTGAATTAAATTGGTGCCTTTCTTTCTCAGAACTGTCTGAATCAATGGGGAAATCAAAAACTGCAGCTGCTTGTGTGCAGTCATAAGTGAAGCTACTGATAGATGGCTAGACATCAGTCTGCTTTAAATGAGCATGGAAGCTCCATGCAATTAGATTTTAAATGAAGTTATGGTGTATTCATGCAACACAAAATCATTTTTTATTGCAAGCAGGTGTTTTTGTGCTACATAGGGTACTTACTTGGAACTGATTCAAATGATTTTCATGATGTTCTACTTCGACAGACCGGAAGTTATTAATTTTCATTTGTGAATTACCCTTCATATGCGTATGCTGAGATTTTTTGTATCTGGTTTGTGCCCTGGTTGCGTTGAAATATTTGAACTTTTACGGCTAGCACTTATGCAACGCCCCACCGGATATGATGTATTTTAATCAAAACTATGAGCATGAGGTGCTTATACATATATATATATATATATATATATATATATATATCTTAACTAAACACTACTTCTCTAAAACAAGCAATTTTGTTCTCAGAAATAATTATACTATATTTTTCTATAAAAAATATTAACGGTCATTTTTTTTGTGTTGATGTATTCACACATTCATTATTCAATCACTTAACCATGATGAATAAGTGGAGAATCCTATTTTCAGTAGACAAGGTCATAAGAACCAGCACATAAGAGTCTGTTTTTGATTCATAACCCCCCCCCCCCCCCCCCCCCCCCCA